TGGTAAATGTCTTCGATGCTGTGGAAAGCCCAAATGGGAGAGAACAGAACTGGTATGTGATGTTGTCGAATCGGAATCGAAGGTGAGTATCAAGGTGTATACGGTAAATTATAGCGGACCTGTTTAGGTTCATCATAATATAGTTGTTCTTGAGGATTGTCAGGTAGATATGGGTCATATTGGTAGTATCTATCTCTTCTATCATCTCGGAAGTGGTGTCGAGAGGATTGTGGATAATAGTAGTACTCCTGGTATGGGAGGTTGTACTGAGCAGGTGATAGATGCCGTCTCTTCTCCTGGTTTTTTCTAAGAGAGTGGCGAGATGAATCGGAGCTGGATAGTTTGAAAAGAATTGCCCGCCCTGATGATGCAGGGCTCGAATGGGCCGAGGCCTGGAATGAATTTCAACCGGAGAGAGGTCAATACTCGGCGACAAGCTACCGGCGGAGGCTGGACCTTGGGCCAGAGGTAGAGAAGGGTCATCTCTGTCAGACAGAGAGCCCGGAGCATCTTTAGATGATTCTTCAAGAATGGGAGGTGGAAAAGTCGGCTGTGGTGGGTCGAGCTGAGTGGACTTTGAAGTTTTCTTCAATTTCTTAGAGGTCGTCTTGTCTTTTTTCTTCTTCTTAAAAGAATGTAGAGAGAGAGTCAAGGCCTTCGACAGCAACATGGATTTCAATTTTGAAGTGCACTTTGACTTCTCCTTAGGATTGGGAAAAGGAGTCGCAGGGCTGGAAGCAGGCATGGGTGGATTTTGCTGATCTGGTTGAGGGTCTGGAGATCGAGAAGACTCCATAGCGACCGGAGGTGGATTCAGAGATTTTTCCCAGAGGTAAGACCTCAATCTTTGTAAACGCAGTTTTAGAGCTGGATTAGTTAGCCTTTTACACTCGGAGCAGGAATATGTAGGATGTTGTTCTCCAAGACAGAAGAGGCAATGGTCGTGGCCGTCCATTAGCAGGATATTTTTTGTGCAGAGAACGCACCACTTGAAAGGCCTGAAGGGGGCCATAAAAGAGCTGGGGGAAACAGGAGGGGAAAAATGGTCGGGGAGGGGCATTGGCAAAACACGGGTAGAGAAAAAACTGGAATAAACTCACAGGGGAAACAGCCAATAAAGAAAGATAATTGAAAGGAATTTGAAGTAAATAAACGATGATTCAATATGAAGTACAGTATTAAATCAACAGATTGCTCTAGTCTCCGAAACAGGTCTAGCCAACACGGTGGAAAAAAGGAACTGAGGGGATGAGTGATGGGCAGAGCAGGCGCTCCATGGGGGAACGTCCCACTAATCATGGGTCTTTTAAGCTTTAGAAACTTCCGAGAGGTTCAGCACAGGGCTTAGAACAACCCAACTGTGTGCATTCACAGAGACTGCAAAGAAGAACCAGATGCACAGGTAGGGGACAGGTGGGACCTGGCTCGACAGTCGTACCTGTGAGAGGGATTTAGGGGTCCTGGTGGACCTCCGCCTAAGGATGAGTCAGCAGCCGTGTGCGACGGCTGCCAAGAAAGTCCACACCGTCCTAGACTGCATCAACGGGGACGGCATCAAGATCATGGGAAGTGAGAGTACCACTCTATACCACACCGGTGAGGCCGCACTTGCTGTGTCCAGTTCTGGTCACCACAATACAAAAAAGATGCCGAGGCCCTGGTACTGGTGCAGAGAAGAACAACCAAGATGATGAGGGGACTGGAGGCTAAATCCTATGAAGAACCACTCAAAGAACTAGATATGTTCAGCTTAATGAAGAGAAGACCGAGGGGGAGACATGATAGCAGTCTTCCAAGATCTGAAAGGCTGCGCCAGGGAAGAGGGCATCTATTGATTCTCCATGGCTCCGGAGGGTAGGAAAAGAATCAACAGGTGGAAACTCATCAGAGGGAGATCCAACCTGTAAACAAGGAGGAATTTCCTGATGGTGAGACCCATGAAGCAGTGGAACAGCTCGCCTCCCGATGTGGTGGGTGCCCCATTGCTGGAGGTTTTCAAGAAAAGATTGGACAGCCATCTGTCTGGGATGGGAAGAGGTCCGGGATGAGAGCAGGTCTCCGGACTTGGGCAGGAGGTTGGACTAGAAGACCTCGAAAGTCCCTTCCAACCCTACGATATTCTATGATATGACTCTGGGCCCTGTACTGTGGTCCCTGCCAGCCTCCTCATCTCTTCCCTTCTCTCCCTGCTTAAGCAGGCAGGGAGAGCTGTCCTCGTTTTGCCTGCCCATCCCCCTCCGCCCCTCCACCAGGGAAAGAAGGCCTGGGCTGCTAATGAAAGGACCCAGTGTCCTGACAAATATGCTGGCCGTTGCAAGGCGGAGGGGGGGCGGGTTGGAGAAGAAGGGCTGGCACGAACTTGTCTGGGCTGGGGGGGGCAGGGGAACTGCCAGGAGAGAGGCACCCTGCCAGCTTGCACACAATCTGCCAGGACAGCCACTCTGCCTCCTCAGCCAGCAACCCCTTTGACAGAATGCCCCCCACCGCCCAGCTGGAGAAGGGCTTCTCTCCCATGCCCTTCTGGATTCTCCACATACCCTCTGCTCCCTGGCTGGGGCATGGCACGAAAGCCACAGCGTTCTGCTTCTCTTGAGTCTCTGAGCCCAGAACCCTGGCTTGCAGCTCGTGAGCCAGAGTCCTCCAGCTCCTGCCTAGCTCGCTCGCTCGCTCGCCCACACAGGTCCAGGCAACTGCTTTTCCCTCCTGGGGTCTCAGGGATGCCAGGAAGAGATGAAAGGTGTACTTATTACCTGGTCCAACAGTTGCAGTAAATATGTGTTATGCTCCATCACGCTGTGCCCAAATTATAGGTAGGTAGGTAGGTAGGTAGGTAGGTAGGTAGGTAGGTAGGTAGGTAGGTAGGTAGGTAGGTAGGTAGGTAGGTAGGTAGGTAGGTAGGTAGGTAGGTAGGTAGGTAGGTAGGTAGGTGACGTGGTGGCACTGCAGGTTAAACCGCAGAAGCCTCTGTGCTGCAAGGTTGGAAGACCAGCCATCGTAAGATCGAATCCACGCGACAGGGTGAGCTCCCATCGCTTGTCCCAGCTCCTGCCAACCTAGCCATTCAAAAGCATGTAAATGCGAGTAAATAAATAGGTACCACCATGGTGGGAAAAATAACAGTGTTCCGTGCCTAGTCACGCTGGCCACGTGACCATGGAATCTGTCTACAGACAAATGCTGGCTCTATGGCTTGAAGACGGGGATGAGCACCGCCCCCTAGAGTTGGACACGACTGGACTAAATGTCAAGGGGAACCTTTACCTTTACCTTTATCTAGGCAGGCAGGTAGGTAGGCAGGCAGGGTCGGTGTGCCATCAAGGCTCCTCCAACTGATGGCGACCCCTTTCTGAAGGAAGAGAATGTCCAGAAGCGGCTCCCCACGCCACTCTTTGGGGGGGGGCACCCTGGGACCAGTTCCTGGCTTGAACAAGGCCACATAGGCTGGCTCTTCTTCTAGGAGTCCCAGTGGGGGTTCAAACCCCCAACTTATGCCCCACCCCAGACAGAGACCTAAGCCACGGAGCCATCCAAACTAAAGTGACCCTAAGAAGAGGGGTTTCAAGGTGGGATCCTTAAGGATTGGTTTCACCCGGCCTTCCTCCTCATGAGTTTCCCCGGACAGGTCTCCGGAGCCTTCCTCTGCCGCTCTCTCCCCCAGAGCACACTTGATATGAAGCATACACAATTGCTCAAGCCCGATCCACCAGCATGCCCTTTTCTCTAACACCAAAACCACAATGGCAGGAAAACCCAACCCCGAGGGCGCAAAGGGCTTCTAGCTGGATTGCTGTGTTTAAAGGCGCTTGCTTCTGGCTGGAGCAAGAGGTGCGGCAGCGGCGGGCGATTGCTGTGTTTAAAGGCGCTTGCTTCTGGCAGGAGCAAGAGGTGCGGCAGCCGCGGGCGAACCTCCCGCCTCCCCGCCCCGTGCGCGCCTCCTCCTCCTCCTCCTCCTCCTCCTCCGCTCGCCTTTGCCCTCCACGGGGCCGTCTAAGCACATTTCAGGCGACAGGCAGGGCTTGAGCCGAAGCAAGGCTCGCGTCCGTCCGGTCTCCCGCGCTGGGCCCGGCGGCTCCCACACCGCAGAGGGGTCCGGCAGCACTTGGGGGCGCGGGGAGCAACCCCCGTCCGCAAGCCGGGGCTCCCTCCGCTGGGGGGAGGAAGGGCCGGCACAGGCGCTCCCGGGATGGGCAGGGGGGCGAGCCTCCATCCCCCGGAGGCGCACGGGCTTCCTCCTCCCAAGGCCTCTGCGGAGGAGGA